AGCTGTAAAGTTAGGTTGTATGATATCTTTCTTGTTTATTAATGTGTTTATTGCTATGAACTCCCCTCTTAGAACTGCTTTTGCTGAAGCCCAAAAGTCGGGATCCTGTAAGTTTGATATGTTGTATTTCTGCTTTCATTTACCTCAAGATATTTTTTGATTTCTTTTAATTTTTTCTTTGACCCTTTGGGTGTTCAATATCATGTTGTTTAATCTCCACATATTTTTGATTTTTCCAGTCTTCTTATAATTTCATTCTACTGTTGTGTTTGAAAAGACTCCTGGTAAGATTTCAGTCTTCTTAAATTTAGACTTATTTTATGGCCTAGCGTCTGATACATCTTGGAGAATGTTCCATATGTGCTTGAGAAAAAGGTATATTCTGTTTCTTTTGGATGGAATGCCCTCGGTCTGTGATGTTCATCTGGCCTAATGTGTCATATAAGGCTGAAGTTTCTGTGCTGATACTCTATCTAGAGGACCTTATCTATTGATGTTAGTGGGGTATTAAAGTTCCCTATTATTGTACTGCTGTCTATTTCTTGCTTTGTATCTGTTAATATTTGCTTTATTTATTTGGGTAAGTATTTACAAATGTTACACCATCTTGTTGATTTGATACTTTTATTAGTATATAATGACCTTCTTTGTCTTATATCAGAGTTTTTGCTTAAAGTATATTTTGTCTGATATAAGTATAACTATTCCAAACCTCCATCTTTGTGCTCTCTGCTCTTTCTTACCCCAGGTCTCCAGCATCTCATGGAAAGGAGCTTGTTCACACATTTGGTGCCCTGGTTTTCACACTGCCACCCAGGCTTCTGGACATCCTGACCGTCTGGCTCTGGTAGCCAGTGGGGCTTACGTTAGCAGCTCCCACACGACTATAACACAAGTGTTTCTTAACCAGCTTCCCTGCCCCCCATCACTAAAAGGCACAGTGCAGAGACAGAGACAGAAATGCCCACCCAGTCATTCCATGAAAGAGGCCTATTAGCTTATCTTTATAGCTGTCTTCTGAGAGGTTTCCATTTCGATGCAGTATCTTTTCACTTTTAGACTGTGTGTGTCCTTATATTTGAAGTGAGTCTCTTATAGGCAGCACATAGACAGTTTTTATTTTTATCCACTTAGCCATTCTGTCTTTTGTCTGGAGAATTTAGTCCATTTACAGTTAACATAATTATTGGTAAGTACAGACTTACTGCCATTTTGTTAATTGTTTT